TGGTCGAGCGTTCGTAGCGTGAGGACGTGTTGGAGGATACTCTCGAGGTTCTGTCAGCTAAGTCGTGAGTTAGTTGTTATCTGGCTACTTTGTAGCAGTATTCGTAAGTTTTCTGATTGATATTGATCTAATGTGAAGTTGGAGATAGCTAACAGCTTACTTGCTATAATTATTAGCGCATTATTCGTAGTGTTCCTTTCAATGCAAGGTCTAGGACATTACAGTCTTACCGGGTTCCAACTAGGGTGAAATACTGCAAAGTGTAAGTCTAAAGTAGTAGAAGTGTCAATCGGGATCAATAACATTAAGTAAGATGCCTAGGATGTGTAGATGCGTTCGGTGCGGGGATTGAGTAGGTGGGACTAGTAAGCGAGAGGTATGCAGAGTTTATAGCTTGGAGGAGCGACTAGAGTAGCTATCTGGAAGGCTCATTTAACGTGGAGGAGGATATAAGAGGAATCAGGAAGGAGGTGGGCGAGATACAGAGGGATGATTTAGTGGCGAGGCTACTTAGGGTGGAGGAGGGATTCCGGGGGTTCCCCAGCCTTCCGGACTTTACTGGTCCAGTTCTTTAGCGGAGTGGGAACATTACCCGCTTTGCTGCTAATCACACTTAGGGTGGAGGAGGGATTCCGGGGGTTCCCCAGCCTTCCGGACTTTACTGGGAGGGTGGCCCTTTCGTCCTTTGACAGCACGTCGAGTGCCGACTCCCAGGTGGCTAGTAATTGGGCTCAGGTCGTAAAGGGGGCGAAGGTAAAGCGATCCCATGAGGCAGTCATTAAGACCGAAAACAAGTTTCTCGGGTTGAGTGAGGTCAGCTTGGATAGAGGGAACGGAGGGCGGGGTGGGGACAGGTGTGAGATTGGCAGGACGAGCTCAGGCCGTGTTGAAAGGGAGAGGGAAAACTCGGGCCCTTGTAATCGTCGGTGACTCGAACGTCAGGCGTCTTGGAGAATGTGGGAGACCCAACTGCTATCATGAAGCTTTACAGATCTATAAGGTATGGATATTGTTCCCAAAGTTCCAACAGTATACGTAAGCCTCTACACCCAACTGTTATTTCAACATTCGCTCATTGATAGAATTACCAAAACAAGTTTATGGATAAAATTTCCTGCATAATAGTGCCTTCAAATGATGAGGTATGATTTTACTGCAAGAAACAAATTTCAGTAAGTTATTGGAAAAGCGGAGGAGGTATTTTTCTGGCAAAATTTTTTGTTGTTCTTGCTGAATGTTGCCGCAACATTTCATTTCTACCAGGACAAAAAGAAGCTTCAGGTGATGAAAAATCTTCTCCAGTTGGGATCGGAGGCTGTAAAGGAGTTTCTCTCGGTTGCTGAGAAGCTTGATGAAGGTAAGCCAGGCACCGTCGACAAAAAAATTTACCTTTTGTGGGGGATTCTTGGGAATCCTCAAATCACAACCGAGTTTTTTTGGTATGAGAAAGAACCATCCTGGTTTGAATTTCAATTTTAATCTGACCAAAATTGGGAAAGTTAATCAGTTTCTGAAGATAAAGGGTTATTTACAGCTAAACTGCTTCCTTTGTTGTGTGCTTTGAACGTGGCCATGTAGCCCTTTTTTCGGGGTGATAAACCTTGCAGTTTTTTTAAAGTCGACTGATTTGTGGGAACTAAGTGCATGTTCATGTAATTTCTTCATTTGTTATTCGTTCCCCCCCGGCTTGACTCCATGTTCCTGCAATATTTAATGGTGGTTTTTTAATATCGCAACATGGCATAGCTCATATATATTTTTGCACGCATTGATGAGACTTGAATGTCTTCATTAGTTTTGAAGTCAAGTTCTCTCAAGGGATTTCCGTATTACATAGGAGAGTCTGCAGTCTGTCAAGAACGGAAGTACTGACTTCAAGGGGCTGAGAGATGAACTGGAAAGAGTGGCCTCTTAGAAAATGAAGCTTGCAAAGATTTTGCAAGCTTCATTGCAAATTGTATCCCAGCATCCACATCATCATAGGATTGCTGGAATCAGCGAGGATGAAGTTGAATGTCACCCATGTGTCTGAGGAAGCCCTGGCCCCTTTTATGACCATCAAGAACTTAGAGCAGGATGAAGAATGGAGGTGCTACTTTGAAATTTGCCTTCATGGTGAGGCAAGTCCAAGGACACAGACTTCCGGAAACATTCGAATTAGGACAGTCTTGGGGAATCCCACAGAATTGCCTCAGGGTTTCTTCACTCAACCTTTTTGCAGTGCAATATTCTCCGTCAAGGTGGGGGCATGTGCATGATTCGGACAACCTTTGATCCCATCAACCGTTTCTGTTTTACCTTCGTTATAAATGTCCCTTTCTATTTCTTGGACAGAACGCAGTAGAGGCGAAACTGTCTGCTAGGCTTGCACGCCCATCAGGGCAGATGCAAGAAAGGCAGATTCCAACGGCTTTGATCACAGAAGGCATTCGAGAAGCTGCAGAATCGCAGGAGTCCTCGAGGAAGAAGGCATGAAAAGTGAAGTGGCAATAATCCACGTCGCTGCCAATGAAGGTGATCACCTGTTCATGCCAAAACCGCGACTCCCCAGCTTTTCTCCCCACTCAAATGAGACAATTTGCTTTCTACGCCCCTCCTCTGTTCTGTCTTTGGTTTTATATGGTTCAGACGTTTGAAATGAAGCATATGATCTTCATGTACACACTATTCCACCATTATCCAAAAGTTAAGCAAAGTATCTCAAAACTCACTTTATGAATAATAGATTTACAATCGTGTTAAAACTCTCACACCCCCTCCTTAATGGAGTTCGTTTACTGCCTCTGTGGATGTGTTTCGCAATGGGGGGACCGTTAATAACAAGGCAGGGCCTTCTTCAAAGTTCGTTCACTTCAGGGCAAAGCGTTTGATCAGGATTACCGCGTAATCGACTTCGATCTTTCTCTTAAATATGATGTCCTTCCACTCGGGAGGCAATCAGAGGGAATGATCACTTCTGCATGCGATCCTCCTTATACCATGCACCCATTCATCTTGCAGTCATTAGGTTCTCTACTCTCTCATGGTGTGGAACGTTCATGAGCAGAGCTCAAGAATGCAAGTGTAATCATAGCCTCTTATTCTGCGAGTGTTAATATTATGAAGCTGATTTAAAATGTTAAATATAACTGATTCCTGCAAGACATCAATTTCATCAATGGCTAAATGGTTCAAAATTGAAATTCCTTTTTCGCTAGCTCGATTATTCCGCACCCGACCCGGAATTTATTGGTCAACTGTGCCTTGCGAGCCCTACCTGCTAAACGTGTCAGGCCAATCGGACTGGGTCGCAATCCATCTAGGCTTCTTAAGTCTTGTTTATGATGAAACCTTATCCCACATTCGGCCCAAAACCCGATTTCCATCGGAGCAATGCGCCTGATCTGCGGGTTTTATTGGTACAATTTTGTCGATTTGCATCCCAATGAAGGGTCTCCTGCAAGGCCTTGGGAAACCAGAAGAATGGATCTTGTCCAATTGCCGGGAACTGAGTGAGTGCAGTTATTCAAATGCATACCCATTTAAACGAGAACATTTCCCTTCAGAATAAGAAATATAACGTCTCATTAACAAAGATACTCAAAACTGAATACATAGATTAACCCTTATACGCTCAGCGCGCCGATCCTCCGGCGCGTCAGGTAACGGCCAGAACACTCAGGCGGCCGATCTATCGGCTCCGTCTAAATCATGCTCTTTTAGTTACATAAATGGCTCAAAGGTGGCAGCACAAGACGGTACCTAATTCTCCAAGGTCTATTTCACAGTTTTGCACCCAGATGGCATCACTTTGGTTACAAAAAATATTTTTTTTTAAATAAATGAAATATGTTGAACTCACATGTTTACTTGGTGGTTCATTGCTTTCTTGGTCTGTGGTTTTAGTTGTTTTATTGTGAATATATCATAGTTTAGTGGCGGTATTTTGTTTTTGTAATAAAGTTATATATTATTTATCATATTTTCGTTATATATTTCAGAGATTATAGTATATATAGTTAGTTATTTTACATTTTTAACTAGACAATGGCTGGTCCAAGCTCTAGGTTAGATGACTCTGACATGTTGGAATATTTAGATACAATTGACAGTGATAGTGACTTTATTCCGGAAAGTGATACTGATGATACAAGTGAAGAAGATGCCCCACATGCCACACCCCCAGCTGCTCACCCTGTGTCTGACAGTGAAGAGGATGACATGGATGATGAAGACTACAACAGGGAAATTCTGTCACCTGAGCAACCTCTCCCTCTTCCTTTCCAATTCCAAGAACTGTCTGGACCTAAGCATATGTCTCCTCCTATTGCTTACTTCCATCTCTTCTTCACAGACTTGATCCTTACCCTCATGGTGACAGAATCCAACAGATATGCGCAGCAAGTGATTAGCAGCAAAGCGGGTAATGTTCCCACTCCGCTAAAGAACTGGACCAGAATTACCATGCACGAGATGAAAGGATTCCTGGCCTGTATTCTAAATATGGGTGTGCGGCACCGCCACTTCGCTGCCGCCTGCCGTGCGTGCGCCTGTCTGCGTGGATGTAAAAGACAAGCAACAGCGCTGCCTCCACCCCCTTTTTTTGTCCTTCACCTAGAAGCTTCTGTCTCTCACTCACTGTCAGTGCCCGCTGTAAGCTCCCTGCCTCTGTTTTTCACATGGATCTGTTGCAGTGGTGTAAAATCTCAAATACATTCGGTGTGTGTATTTCACTGGTGTTTCCTTGCTGAGGAAAGAGGAAGACAATGGGCATCATCAAAAAGCCAACCATAGCATCATACTGGTCCATTCTCTGTTCCCAAGCCACCCCATGGATTGGGGAAATGTTTACCAAGCATCGCTTTTCCCACTTGCTGCGCTTCTTCCACCTCGTCAACAACGAAGGATTGCCAGGCACCGGAGAACCAGAGTACGATCCCTGTGCAAGGTACCAACCCCTTGTGGACCATGCAAACAGCGTATTCAGGCATCACTTCACCCCTCATCAAGAAATTAGTGTCGACGAAAGCCTGGTAGGTACCAAAAACAAAACCAGTCTCATGTAGCATTTGCCCAACAAGCACCACCACCGTTGGGGAATGAAATTTTGAATGTTGTGCGACTCTGTCCAACTACTGCCTGGGGGTTTTCACATATAGAGGGGCCAGGTCTCAGGAAGACAAGGACAACATCCAAAAAAATGGCCTGGGGTACACTGTCGTGAAAAAACTGCTTGAGATTGGAGGGAACCTCAACATGATGCTGTACACTTATTTGGATGAAAGGCGGACAGTGCGTCATTGGAAGAAGGTAGCTTTCAACATCATAGCCAGGATGGTGTTGAATTGCTACATTCTCTACAAGGAAAACTACAGGGGGCCTGGCAATCTGAAATCCAGGTACAACTACACTGTGTCCATAATCGAGAGCTTGGGGGAGGAGTGGCTGGTGCTGAAGGACAACGCTGGAGCAGATGATCCTCGGGGACCACGAGGACTCAGAAAACTCCCTGAAAAGAAAGAGTCCTAATGCATTGTCTGCAGCACAAAGGGTGGAAGCGGAGAGCCAGAACAGTATGCACCAGATGCAACAAGGGGCTGTATGGAAAATGCTTCCCTAAACACAGGTGCCAACTGCAAAAGGTACGTATGCACTGTTTTACATAATGTGATGTAGTTCCGAACCAGAGAGCTCTACATGCATAAAACTTATATCAAAATTTACAGAAAATTTTTCTCTCTCTTACAGGCTTGGTGACAAAGAAGACCAAAAAGACAATTTTATTTTTTGCCTAAATTATGTAAATTTTGAATTTCTATATTTAATTCCTTCAGTTTTTATTTTTCAAATTATTTATAGTATAAGCACTTGTAGGCTATTTTTGTTTAAATCTGCTCTTTATAGTGAATAAGTGTGATTTTTTCATGTCTTTGACCAAAATTGTATTTTTGGTGAATTTTTGGAGTGAGACTTGTAAATTGAGCCAAATTCGCCTGAGTGTTTTAGGCCAGGTACTTGGAAAATAGGCTGAGTGCGAAAGGGTTAATATTACTACAATTGAGATTTAAACTTTTTAGCTCCCCAAGCAGCATGTTTACGTAAACAAGATATCTATTTTTTGCAAACAATGTAAATTTATTGCAATTGCCATGAAAATGACATCACGTTACGTAAAATTTACGTTCTTATATTTACGTCACCTAAATGTACGTGTATTTTACATCAACTAGACGTCACTCCATGTGACGTGAAGTACATATCAAGTTTATGCAAAATTAACGCCACACCATCCATATGAAACTTTAGGTGACCATCCCGCAGTTGCAGTACCAAGATTCCTCACTAGACGGAACCCTTGTTCCCTGCATCCGACAAATACTATTAAGTACTGGCTTTCCTGATAGAATATTAGATTTTCTTACCATCCTGCCACTTTTTATTATGCAATCCATGAATATATATATATGGAAATCATGAACTTATTACATATTTTTAAATAATATATGACTCAGGGAATCATTAAATGCAGAAGTTAAGCTTTTATTACAGCAGTGCACGGAATTAGGGAAGAGTAGAATCCCAGCTTTGCAAGTATTAAATCTTCTCTATCCTTAAAGGGTAGAGAGCTTTCTAGAACATCTACTTTTTCTCCCGAGGTTCCAGTACGGGAGGAGGAGGTGGTAGGTCATTTTGGTACTCTTGAGTGCTGATGAGGATGAGTGTACTTCTCCAACCACCCGTAAATTCTGAGGTATGGAAAGGAATGGGAGATACTGTATATAAATTCTTTTCAAAGGTGTTGATTGGCTCGTTAAAGACACATGAATGTTAGGGGGAAACTAACATAAATCTTACGTAAAATCAACGTAAAAATACTGTTAGGAATGCAAACGGGCACGTCAATTTTACATAAAATTGACGTTAATTTTATATCACCGTTTACGTATCACAGAGGTGACATTTATGTAAACATGTTGGCATTATCTTGACAATGGTTTGCGCAAAAATGATATAAAATGGACAAAAAAAATACGTTCAGTTTACGTAAAATTAACATAAACATGCTGTTTGGGTCAAAGTATTTCTTCCACGCCAAGTATTTCCGCCTCGGCAGCCAGCACCTCCCTGTTTCAATCTTTGATGACACCCGGAGAGTATGTTGTCTGCCTTTGGATGGATTTCGAGAACATTTTGGTGGCAGTGCGGTCATCCGCTTCCATTTCATCGCCAAATGTCTTCCATGCCTCCTGTTTCGCTTTGGCGACAGCACGGGTAGCAATTCGGGTCTCCACGCTGTAGCACGCCCTCGAAGAGTCTGATCTACTGGACATGTACGTCCTATAAGCCACCTTCTTCGCCTTGCATACAGCTGGTGTCCACCAGGAAGGACGCTTGGCGTGACCGTGCGCCACCCCGATACACCTCATCCCACACACACATTCTGCCGCAGGGCGAAACATCGGACGAAAATGGAGCCCTTTGGTCTCTACATCTCA